TTATCCATGTTATGGAAGGCAGGCTTACCATCATATTCATATCTGGAGCCAAGGAAGTTTACAGTAAGCAGAAAAGCATTTAGTTTTTGTTAAATGATTAATTAGGTCATAAAGACTGTTCAATGGAGAAAAGACACTTGTTTCAAAAAATGGGTTGCACAGCAATATCTGCATGCATACAAATGACATGGGTCATTGTCAGATACAACAAACAAAAATTCAGTTAAAGAGATCAAATTCTAAAGGTTGGACCCCAAACTATAAAATGCTAAGGGAAAGTATAAGTAGAAAAATTATGACATTGATTTGGCAATGATTTTATGAGAATGACACTAAGAACACAGGAAAAAATGGACAATTTGGATTTTTTCAACATGAAAAGCTTTTCTTCATAAAAAAACAAAGAACAAGATGAAGGGTGACCTATGAAATAGGAGCAAATATTTCACAAATCATATGAAAAATAAAAGTTAAAGTATAGAATATACTAAAAGTCTTCTACAACTCAACAGCAACCACAAAAACACATATAAACTCACTTAAAAAATGAACAAAACACTTCAATAGACATTTCTCCAGAGAATGTATGCAATACACCAAAAGTCACAGAAAACATGCTCAACACCGCTAGTATTCACAGAAAAGCAAATATCAAACTCTCCAGGTTGAATTTGGTGCTTGTGATGTTGGTGTGCTTAACCTCGCTCTACAGGTAAAAGAATAAAAATTGCCCTGTATAGTACCTTTTCTTTCTCCAAAAGCTTCTTCATTGAGATGTGGCACCTCTCATATCTCTGTCAACTTGAGTATTTGAAAGAACCCAGGAGGTCTGTGCATCACTAAAAAATGCATGGGAATCTGGGTGCTCAGAGAATGAATTGCCTCCAGCTATATGTGTAGTGGAAAGTACAGATTTTCTCAGGTGTCTTTTAAGTATCAGTGTTTGGTTATGGGAAGATATAAGATTGAGAGTCAGATATACCCCTGCAGTTATGAGTCTTCACAGACCACCTGACTGCCTGGTTGACAAGAAGTGTTTCCTTCCAGCTGCACAGACTTCTGTCATCCAGCTGATTCATGTTTCTATGATGCACCATTTCCCACAACATTCTAGAGACTGCACTTTGTGAAATAATAACACTTAGAGACAAGGGGCAAGTCAAAGGTAAATTGAATACTCAGGCCTCTGGGCCAAGAGGTGTTTCAGGTCTTTCAAGTGGAGGGAGACCCGAATTAGTCAGTGAGCCAAATGAGTCAGTGAGCTAAAAAATGATAGAGCAAAGTCCAAGTGATTTAGGAGAATAGAAAAAAGGCAGACAGATGTTAAAGCAGCAGAATCAAGTGCTCTTCCCTTGACCATTAAAGTCATTCTCTCTCCCCTGAGGGCAAGTAAGGACTGGTGCAAATAAAAAGCAAGGGTCTCATAGCAAGTGGTGTCATGGACTTGTTGAAATTCTTACCTGTGTGGGCAATATGTGTCAGGTGACTATGAGATAGAAATCTGGAAAAAAAACTTAAAATTCTTCTGTATGTGTTTATTATTGTTATCAACCCAGGGTCTAAGAACAATTGCAACAAAGATTATTTTATTAGAGAAAATAAACAGATCTGAGATGATGGTCTTGGATTTTGGAGGCACAGAAAGACATTCCCTCATTGCAACAATTTAAAGGACTCTGTATCCATGTTCCAATGTCTGAAGAAATCTTGGATCATTCATTCATTCATTAAAACACCATTTATTCCTTCCTAATTCATCAAAAGTAACTGAATGTTTATTACATGCTGGTCCCTGAGTTTGTATCAGGGGAAGAGTGGGAAATGAGAAGAAAACCTCCTTCCTTTATATGTGCTGGGGTGACTACACCAAAACAAAAAGCAAATAAGTAAGTGATGTCAAGTTTGGTGCAGAGAGGTTAGGATAGGCCTCGTAAGAGGGTGGGTTGTGAAGTGATTCTGATTGTTACTGCAGCTAATTTGGTTCTACAGTAAAAATACATGATTTCTCCTTTTTTTCACTACTCATGTCTAAATGTATACCTATGGGGTGAGCATGAATAAGACAAAAGGATCTGTAGCAATTTGTTGGTTTAAAAATCCAAAGCCACCCTCATAGGGTCTTTAAGTTAGAGAAATTAAATCTGAGGCTAGAAACAGACATTGACAGACTCTGATCAACTGCTCATGGTCTATGTGACTCTGCTCTAGTGACTTTATCTCTGTGTGAATCAGTTTATTCTCAAGGAATATTTGGCTGCTAAGTTGTGAGTGTACAAACTGTACAATAGTTCCAGCATCTGACCTTAACCAGGGGAAGAAGAGCTGTTCAAATTAGAGGCATTTCTTATTGGTCAACTCCAAGAGAGAATCCCCTGGGCTGATCCCTGAAGAATATGGAGTCTCCAGGAGAATCTCTTTTTCTCAGTTTCTTTCTGTGGATGCTGACTTTCTTCTGAACCTTTGTAAGACCTCCAGGACAGGTGACTATACACAAGGGCACTGTCTAACTGTGCTCCCCACACATGGACTCAGGTGCTACCAAACTCCATTTTTGCCAAAATGTGGCTCTTGGGCCTGAACCCTGACTGGGGAAAGCTCAGGATCTTTGTGTCTTAGGCACCCATTAAACTGTTTCACACACAGCCTTTCCCAGGAGCCAAACACAACTTGGAAAAGGCCTACTACTGTCCCGGGGTTCAAGATCGCTTGGTCAGTGTTCTGGGGAGGAATTTTTGAGCTGAGTTCTGTAAGAATGTTAGTGGGCCTCTCAGACCATGCTTTGACCTAGTACATCAAAGTCATTCTCAAGGTCAAGTTCATAGGTACATGCTTCAGGAGCTGAAGTGAAATGGCATTCCTCTGCAGAGTAAATTCTGTCACCATGATCCTTGTGTCTACAGTGACTCTCCATAGGGATGCAAGTTGGGAAGGGAACTGATAGCTTGGGAAATGTGTCTACTCAAAATCCAACCTGAAGATTTTAAAGGTAACCTGCAACTACTCAAGCAGCAGAGAGATTGCTGCTAGGGAGGACCTCCCTTCTGCTGTGTCTGCATCTCCCAGGTCACCCCACCCCCCCAGTCTCCCAAGATAGAAACCCAAGATACATATTGAACATCTGGAATTTTTGTTTACGCCACATAAAAAAAGACAAAGATCACCTAATGAAAAATGGCTGACTTCATCAGAGGTCTGTCTTGGCCATGATTAAGGATTTCATGAGGAAGTGGCATGCTCTTTGTGACTCAGAGAGAACTACTGTATGTGCACAGATGCCATGGTCTTTGCATTGCAGCTCTGCATGGCAGAGAACAATAGACAGCACAATGGAGAATTTACAGTCTCCCTCAGTGATGTCTTATTGACCTGGAAGCACTTGCTACATGAGAAATTGAACTTACCATTTGAAAATGTGGAAGCAATTGACCATTATGAGGACATTAGGAGGACTTACGATAGTTTCTTAAATGATAGAAATATGTTAGATGTGATGGATGTTTATAAAACATGTAGTGTTTTGGCTTCTAATTGTAAAAATAATGCCAACATATCTGTCAGTCAACTATGGGATTTTCTGGCTGGCAGACAGTCTGCAGTAGATGATGGAACTTATCTTTGTATACCACCATCACCAATGAGTGAACACACTCAGGACAATGAAAAGGTGAAGTTACTAGCAAAGAAAATTGTGTACTCATATTTAAATCTGCTGGTGAATTCCAAGAATGGCCTGCCTCTGGCTCATATTCTCAATGTTCCTGACAGAGGACTGGGAAGAGAAGCCTTCACCAATTGGAAGCAGCTGCTCCAGAGAAACAGATGTCTATGTTTGTGGTGGTCACATCATTTGTTAGAACAATAGAGCTTGGAGGGAAAGGATCTGTACCCTCAGTGTCTGATCCTCCAAGGACACATGTAAAAGGATTGTCTAATTTTATTAATTTCATTGACAAATTAGTTGAGATTCTTGGAGAAATATCAAATCCAAGCATTGTGGGGAACAGCAGGGACCCTCTTCATAAAGCAGTAGAGGAAGTTGCTCAGGATCTAGATTTGAGGATTAAAAATATTATCAATTCTCAATGAGGGTACGTGGCTGTTAGCACCACTGACATCAGTCCTGCACAGTCAAAATCTTATGCCATAAATCATGGCACTGCATACTGTGGCAGAGATACCGTGAAAGTTCTACTAGCTCTTTTGGATGAAGCAACAGCAAGTGCTCCTACAAAAACAAAGCAGAGCTTTTATATGATGATGAATACACCATTCATCATAATGGAAATTCAATTCTTACACTGCTTAAATCTACCATACAAATGAATAATTCATTGGTGAAACCACTAAGAGAATGTACACATAGCAAACCTTAACTAGATCTCAGTTTTCCTGCACTCATAAAGATGACAGCCTGATAGGCAGGAATACATGGAATAACGTTAACTCCACATCAAAATCATCCCTTGTCCTTCACATGGAAAATGACCTTTCTGAAAGTGTAAACTCATCTGTTGGAAGACCAACAATTGGAACTAGTTCTGCAAATGTTCATCTGGACAGAAATAAAAATGCAAAAGTAGAGGACAAATCAAGTAGTCAGACAGGAAATAAAAGCTCAAAAAGGAAACCGGTGGATTCAGATGATGAAAACATTCTCTGTGATAGTGGAAATGAACCACCCGACATAAAAATGTTAATATACCTAAGACATCAAATGATTTGCAGGACAAATTGGATGGCAAACTAGCTAGAGTAGCAAAAATCAACAAGTGTTCTGCCAAGGACAAATTGATTACTGGCCAGACAAAATTAACTCAGTTTTCTAGACTATGAATCATCTTTTGTGTGCTTTAGATATATGTATACATAAATCCATTCAAAGACATTTACTTAGTTTTTAAGAGATCAGGGGTATATTATGATGCTTTATTTATTTTGGTGTGGAGTGTGAGTGAAGTTAGTAAGTGAAACATTGTTTAAAAAATACTACTAAGTCATAATAATGCAGAATATTCACAAATTTTAATGCACAGATATAGCGTATCATCTAGGTCACTGATATCACTTAAGATTACTTTCATTTAAATCAGACATTTAAAATAATATAAGTCATGGTAACATTAAGGGCTTTTCGTCCCCAGGCAATTAAATGATTTTGTTTTCTTTTGAAAGATGATGTGGCCCAACAGGTATTAAACTTGCTAACATGGTCCATAGACTCTTCCCAGCATACACCTGCGTGCTGAAAGAAAAAAAAAAGTTTAAATTGTTTACAAGACTTCTATCATCACACAAAATTTATTGGAAATGAAAACATTAGATCTAGTATAGTTAACTCTATATAAATCAACATTGTAATAACTAATTAAATGCTTTATAAATCCAAAAACAAAACAAAACAACAAAAAAAGAAAACAAAAAACAAAATCCAACCTGAAACAAAATGTGGAGAAGAATGGAAGCAAAACTCAGGGATGTCTGCCCTGTGTGTGAAGTAGAATTGACCCCATCTAACACCCAGTGGTCAGAGAGCAATCACTCACCGTGTACGTCAAGCCTCCCAGATACAATTTCTTTTATTACATCTGTAACATAGACTGCCACGGTGTACATTCCTGCATCATTTAGGGTGACATTGTCTATCAGCAAGGATCCATTAGCGTTTATTTTCTCTCGTCCACTGTATGCAGGACCTTTGATATCGTATGTTGAGAATGTGAAAAGAAATGCAATAATATGACTTCTGTTCGTGCCTTCCCCCCTATACCACACGAAGGCTGCAACATTGGCAGGCGTATTGTGGAGAGGTAGAAGTGCAGACTGCCCTTCAGTAATATTGGTTGACACAACAGAGACATGAGATGTGGTGGGCTGGCACCAGAAGTTGAAGAGTGAGACTAGAAAATAAGAAAACAAATAACTGTGTTTGCATATATACATTGTAATGGAAATATAAGGCCCTGAATCCTGAGCAGTTGTCTTTATTTCTCAGACTGTTCTACAGGTAAGTGTGCGTCTCCCATGGTCAAGGTCCACAGCATGGGTCCCATTATTTCAGCACCTCTGAAACTGTTACTTTTCCTGTTTCAAACAGTCTTCTCTAGGTATTTTCTTGCTCACCCCCTCACTATTCTCAGACTCCTTCTTACAGTCAGGGGCACTTGTGGAAGACACTTTGCTGACCTCTGTCTCTAAAGATCCTGTGTTTTCTCTTCTCTTTTTTGGTACAACCCTGCCCTGTTTTTTTTCCCCCATGGATGTTGTAGATTCCTCACATAACATTTAGATCTTTTCTTTTCCTCATCTCCTCCTTAATATGGGCTAAATTAAAGCAGGATCTTGTCAGATCTGGTACCTCCAGTGACTTCAACAGGCTGCAAGTATATGGAGTGGAATGAATGAGCAATGCCAGGGTCATACTTTTTGGGGTGTATTTGACCATTTCTGAAGTCAGTGGTAAAGACAATACCTCACTCCCCTGGTTAAGTTTTTATTTTTTCTGGTGTTTCCTGATAGAAATCATCATTATTATTATGATCAGATTTTAGTAATCATACTCAATGATGAATAACAGGAAAAGAGCAGCAATTGAGGTTTTCCTGCCTCTCACCACTTCCAGTTTACAAGATTTTCTTCTTGCTGACCCCCTTCCTGATCCTACTCTGCTCCTTTCTCCTTCACCCTCAGGTCCAAATGGAAGTCTTCCTTATTTCTAAGAATACTGGTCTCTTCAGTAGATCCCAGTCAGTCTCAGTGTCAGATCCCTAGTCCACCCCAAGGAATTGTCTCCTACTTACCAGCCACCAGGAACACTTGCCAGTGGAGAAGTCCTCTGTGTGTGGAGAATGACAGGGACCCCATGGTGTGTATTGTCTGCCTGTGGCTGCCTCCTAGAGAGAAGCTTGAGGTTCTGTGAGGCTCACAGGCACCTCTGTCCAGAATGGTGCAATCTGCTGTGTGTCCTACCTATGTGCTGAGCTTTATTCTGGCATGTGTTTACTATTCTTGTCAGGTGGCCTGGGGGTGGAGTTTGTGCCCTGGACCCTCCCACTCTCTTCCCTCATTCTGTCATCTCAGTCCCTACTTACCAGTATTGCTCCCCTACACTTTGGTTTCCTGGGAACTCTTGAGGTTCCTCGATACCACACACATGCATATATACATATAAGCACACACACACACACACACACACACACACACACACACACACACACTCTACTGCTGTGTCTGGAAAGCACTAGACAGGGTTGTCTGTATATCAGACCTTCCCAAGAACTTCCAGTCAGGTGCCCATTACCTTTCCCATAGCCCTCTCTGTATCACATTTACTTTTCCAATTTGACTTGAAGATAAATTAGAAAAAAACCATCACAAGGATATCCACCAGCTGTGTATCAGATCCATGTGTGAAGCTTAAAAAATATAATGCCCAGGTGACATCTGAAAAATGCAGCTTCAGCAGCTGTCCAGCTACTGTGGGTGTCCATTCAAAATGAGATGTCTTGACGTGAAGATTGAACCATTTCCCCTACTCTCCTGTCCACAGGGAAAGTCTTCAGATTCTGTTTAATTCTAGATTCTAAAGGGGCTGCACTGACTCAGAGATTCTGCATCTCACAAGCTCTCAAGAGAAGGAGACCCTACTGGTCTGTAGAGAACACTTGTAATAGCAAGACTGATGGGGGTATCTTTACCCCTGAGAGGTGGACCCACTCATGCCAGCATTGATGACAGCAGTGCTGTGTCTTGGTCTGTGGTCTGTCAGCACAGCACAGAGAGACCCAGGTGTCCTCAAAATATAGGTATTATTTCTTTTTGTGACAGAGAAACCCAGATGGGAATCCAGTCTCCTTCATGTTCTCAAATGCTCTGAGAAGGTTTTATTCCCTCCCAGCTGGAAGGTCACAGAGATGACTTTTGCAGTGAAAATGGCCAAGCATGGTGAGAATGGCATAGAGGACTCTCGTTCTATCTGAGGTTGTCACCAAACTACATTTTGCTTCTCAGGACAAACGTTCAAAACCAGAATTCACAGTAGGACCTTCAGTTTTAGGTATGAAGTGGGAGGTGACCTGTGTGTCCCAGGAAGAAAGGACTTTGGGGAAAAGTGAGGTCCCTGTGGGTTTTCTGGTCCTCCAAATAGAATTTCATGTCTCTCCATGTCTGTTTATTGGACCTGAACTTTGGCTGTTGGCTGTGGAACAACCTCTGATTTCTGCCTGAGAGACTTTCTTGTGGTCACCAAACTTGTCCATAGATGATGCCAGGCATAGGGTAGAGAGCAGCACAGAAACCCCTGAGGTTGGAGGTGCTCCAAGGCCCTGTCAAAGTAAGAAACTCTCTAACTTGGAAGGAATGCACTGAGTTTATATGACTGAAACTGACCTCACATGCCTGGCAGAAAGGATTCAAATCCTTTGAAGAAAGGCAGTTTTGCAGCTTGTTTTGTACATGATAATCAAAGTACAAAGTGAAAATTCCACGTAGGATCCATTAGGAGGTGAGAGATAACCTAGCAGGGAAATCTCCAGAATTGGAAAAAAGGCAAAAGGGAGAAACATATTTTTTACATTGATGAGTATAAGATAACTAACTTTTACATGACATAGAGAATGTGTGCAGGGGTCCAGAAACATACAGAGTCTGTGGTCTCATACACTTATTCCACACTCTGGGCCTTCAAATTGTCCAACAAAGGAAATCACTATAATGTGTCAAAGTTATCCTATTCAAGTTGGAAAAAAAGAAAGGATCAGGGCTCATTCAAGCTAAAGACTGACCTTTCCTAAGGAAAATATAGCCCTGGGATGTGACAACCTGCCATCATCTGCCCAGCTAGAAATTTCTAATCAGACTATCCCGTGAGGATTATCAGGCCTGCCCAATGACCCCCTGGGTGTGTCAGGGTTGCTGCACAGCTCTTTTTTGTTAACAGTCTCTAGAAATAGCAGGTGAGACAGAGCAGTCAAGAGGGAGGGTCCACAAAAAGGCTGTGGAAGCAGGGGATGGAAATCAGCCTCTTTCCTCTTCTTAGCCAAAGCCTAGTTCCTATTTCCCGTGTGTCTCAATGTTGTCCCCTGGAGGACAGAAGTAGAACTGCAGCCAAGGTCAGTGGCTTTCCAGGGACCCTGATCAGTGCAGGGTGAGCCCAGTGAAAAGGCAGGCATTATATTATTGAGACTACTGTGAGTCCAGTGTCAGGAGAACAGTCCCACCAGGGGGATGTGCTATTTCACACAGAGATCTCTGTTTTCAAATGTTCAAAGGAAGGGCCTGGTAAAGGTTCTCCTAAGGCTTTTGGAGAGGGTGCTAACCTGGATAGTTGATCACAAAAATGTCCTGTGTGTCCTCCATCATGACATTGATATGTTGCATATGAGTCATTTCTGTGCTCCTCTCTTCCCACATGGCCTAGAGATGAAGCATCTCCATGTAAATACTCAACCAGGGCCCTGTGTATTGTTTTGTTAGGAAAAGAGAGGTTCTTGTAGAAACCTCAGCACCTCTGAGATAGAAGCAACCACAGATGCTGGGTTCTCCTGTCCCATTCTGCTCAGAAAGTTTCCCTTGTTGCCCAGGACATCATGACCTAGACAGATGTCTTCACAAACAACAGACAGGTGTCCCACAGACAGGAATTCTGGGAATAAAAACTCTTCCCTGGTTCTTATAAGGTCAGGGTATCCTCTTTCCTCACCTGACAGTAACTCTTCCAGGGGTTGAGGAGGCAGAGTTTAGTCAGATCAGGTATCTGTGAGAACAGGAAAAACACAGGCATGTGGTGATGAGACATAATTCACAACGTGGGTCTGTGGAGGGCTGTGACTTCAAAGGAATAATATATGTTCCAACCTGTCACTGTTAAGAGGATCCTTTCATTCCTCCTGAATGTATGAGAAGTAAAAGCCTGACCTGAGGATGTCCCCAAGGGGGTGGTGGCCTCCTCTCATGCTGACACCAAGTATTTCAGTTTTGGAAAAACATAATGTGACTACAAGTGTCACACAGAGTGACAAGCTTCCATCGTGCAGTTTCCCTTATTGATTTAACAAGTGTTCACGGAGCATGTGTCAGGTGTCAGGATCTTGGCTGGGCCCTGTACTCTCCAAAGAGAATAAGACTTGTCCAGGTCCTATGCTCATTGACTTTGCCTTGTTACAGCAACTGGCTCTTAGATAAATGATGGCTCTAGGAATCAACCATAAACAAGTGAAGGGTCATAAAGGAAAACCTCTGGAGCATTTACAACATGGAGTTTAGTCTCAGCTGGTCTAAGGATCCCTGAGAACACTTCTGAGAAAGGACTCTTGCATAAGACCTGAAGAATTAGTGACCATTTTGTCCTTGATTAACAAAGCGTGTTTAAAAAAAGTGTTGCCTGCAGAGGACTGGGCTTTGGTAGGCTGACCCTTGGCTGGATGCAGGAGTGGACACAGTCCATGTGGGGAGCTGGAAGAGTTAGGGAGATGGTGGAATGATTGATACTGGTGAGGTTGGTTCCTGCTGGGCTTGTGGGTGCTGCTGATTCAGGGAGATCATCAGCAATGCCCAGAAAAGCTCCTTCCTGCAGAGTATTTCTTCTGCCCCCTGCTGGACACACAGAAAAATGGGCAAACAAATGTCATGTTACTGTTAGGTATTTCTCTCTTTGGATTTGTACTTTCCATTCAACTTATGTTTTAGGCAATATTTCATTCATGCATGTAGAATTTTAAGATATTTATTGAATTGTAGTGGCATATGATCAGCTTAACTTATTGAAAGTATGCAATTTTTGAAGAGTTTTCAGAAGCATGCAGCAGAGAAAATGAAGACCATGCCCCTTACTATTAAAGTCTCTCATGACCTCTTATAATCTCTTTTTTCTTCTCTCCACCTCCTTTTCTAGTGTTAAGGAAACTCTCATTGAATGTTTTTTTATTATTAATTATTTTGCAAATTTTTGGAATTTTCAAATTTTATTCTAAACTATATAAATCTAGGCTGAGGTTGGCTCCTTGATGCAAAAAAAAATATTTTGACATATTTCTTTGTTTTTATTCTCTAGTTATATTTCATTCCAGGTATACATTGATTTTATCTATTCACCCCATTATGGACATTTGTGTTATTTCATTTAGGACTATTAAATTAAACCTGTCATGGACGTAATTGTAGAACAGTTTCCAACACAGAGAATCAGTGCTTGTAAAATCATGAATAGCTAGAGGAATGGAAGTTAAGAAGCTGCCCCTGGAATTCTAGTCTCAAGGTTGCACTGCCATTACCACACCCAGTGGTAAAGAAACACCTGTTTTTTTCATGTAAATCTGTGTCTCCCACAGTTGGATCATCAGTCATCACAGCAGCAGAAATAATAGTCCCTTTCCTTTCCAGCTTCTAAATTATGAAACAGTGTACCTCAGAATTTGGATTTAATTCACATCTGGATTCTCAATCACTAGAAGACAGAGAAAGATTGTCTTTAAACTTTCAGTCCCTCTAATATAAAAGGATCCTCCCATCCCCCCCAAAAAAGTTTAAGTATACATGCCTAGTGCCATCCTACATTCTGTGTATTTTCTGAGTCTACTTGTAGGCTGTGCAATTCTGGGAGTGACCTCACCCAAGAAGCCTCAATTCTCTCATGTGATGCCAGAGAAAAATGCTTGATCTCCTTTCTTGGATTTTAAAAAGAGCAACTAAATCATTTGAAATTATCTAAGGGATTAGGGTGATAAGACTGTCTTTTGTTATGACGAGGCAACTCTTGGCAGACCCCTGCATAGTTGCAGTTAGAGTAGGTCACCAGAAAGACCCAAGTTGTACCAAAAAGCTTGAAATTTTCTGCTGTCAACATAAGAGATATTTCAAACTACTCCATACTCACAGAAGAGTATTTCTGTGAGTCTACTTGAAACAAACATGATGATGATTGTGGGGAAGAAAAATCTCAATGGATTGACATA